AGACCCCTGCTTTAGATAATTTAAGGCAAGAGTATTTAAGGCAATTCATTTTCCCAAGGGGCCATATATGGAACTGGGACTGTTGTGGCTACTCCCTGCCCTGGCGGCCCCCACAGGCCAGACAGGAAGAGCCAAAGGCAGTAACTGAATGCCCATTATGGTGTTCCTTCCCTCCATGATTTCATCTCCCTCAGGTTAATAATACTAAATACCTTCAACTGTTCTTTCTTCTTCCCTATTATTGGTTGCTGTCTTCTATGTCCAGTTTGTCCTGTAATATTGTACCTAAAACGAGGCATACATGTAATTTGAGCATGACTTCTGCTTTTGACAATCTACTTCTGCTGATGAGTCTCAGACATTACATGCAACTCCCAAAACTTGCACACACACACACACACACCCAGGCCTTTTCTTACAAAGATTCAACCTTCAGAGAGATAATCGCTCTCATTTCATTTCAGAAACATGCTAAACTTCATCATGTCAGGAGCAGGTACTGTACAGAGCTGGAATACTCTTTCTGGAGTATTCATGGAGTATTCATGGAGTTCCATTTAATCAAGAAAACAGACAATAGTTTCTTTCCTGTCAAGGAGAAGTAGAAACTCCAAAAACTAGAACGGAACTCCTGGAAGAGGCACAAGAAAATTAAAAAGGCAAACTACAAGCATTCTTCCACTTAAAGATGAAAAATCTCTAGGCTTCCTTTTCCTAAATGTCATTAAGTATGATTTGTAGCTACTACAAATCTGCATACAAATGAATCTGCAAACAGATGGGAGGTTGAACAACTAGCCTTGGGGTGCGACTGGAACAATCTTGAACTAAACACACTCAAAACCGTAGAAATGATGGTAGATTTTAGGAGAAACCCTCCTATAATACCACCTCTTACAATACTAGACCGTACCGTATCAACAGTGGAGACCTTCAAGTTTCTAGGTTCTATCATATCTGAAGACTTAAAATGGACGCCTAACATCAAAAATGTCATCAAAAAAGCCCAACAGAGAATGTTCTTTCTGCGCCAACTCAGGAAATTCAAACTGCCCAAGGAGCTGCTGATATAGTTCTACAGAGGAATTATTGAGTCTGTCACCTGCACCTCTATAACTGTCTGGTTTGGTTCTACAACCCAACAGGAAAGACACAGACTTTAGGACTGCAGAAAAAACAATGGCTACCAACCTGCCTTCCATGGAGGACCTGTATATATTTACAGACACCTCACATCCCAGACATGAACTGTTTCAACTCCTACCCTCAAAATGACGCTATAGAGCCCGGCACACCAGAACAACTAGACACAAGGGGAGGTTTTTCCCACATGCCGTCACTCTGCTAAACAAATAATTCCCACAACACTGTCAAACTATTTACCTAGTCTGTATTACCAATATTCTTCTCATCCTTCCTATTACCTATCTTCTCATGACTATAACTTTGTTGCTTGTATCGTTACGATTCATTTTGTTTCATTTAGTTTCCTAGTATGATTTTTATTGCTTATTTAGTAACCTATGACTATCACGAAGTGTTGTATCTTATGATTCATGAGGAATGTGTTTATGATTACTATGATCATGATTTATCATTTATATCTTTTATGTACACTGAGAGCTTATAAACCAAAGACAAAATTCGTAGTGTATTTAATCACACTTGGCCAGTAAAGAATTCTATTCTACAAGGATACCCCATGCTGCCTTGGCAGTACAGATAGCCACATCCAAAACCTGCCTGGATCCCTTGGGGCATTTTCAACATTCAAAAGGCTTCCCAGCCTGGGCATTAGATGGGCTTTAGCGTCCAGAATTCTCTCTACTGGCCATTCTGATAGCCAGGAATTCTGGAAGTTGAAGGTTCCAGAAGGCTGCACCATTCAGAGATTGGCAAATCAGCCCAAACTCCTGCCAGATGGCACAAAAGGGCCACCCCTTCGGTCAGTTTGCCACTTCTACCTCTAGCTGGCCAGATGTTCCAGCAACCTCACAAAGCCCAGAAAAGGATGGCCTTGAGCCTTTGGGGTGATGCAGCTCCCCTTCTGGATTTCACAGCGGCCTGGAGTTCAAAGGGGCCATTTGGACCAGGGGTCTCCAACCTTGGCCTCTTTGAGACTTGGGGCCTTCAACTCCGGGAGTTCAACTCCACAAGTCTTAAAGTGGCCACGGTTGGAGACCCTTGATTTGGACCACTCAGCTCCAAACTTGCTGTTTTAACTTTAGGCAGCTCGCTCCTCTTTGCTCAACTAGTGAAAAGTAACCGAAGCCCCAAACTAGCCTTGTGACAGTGAGAAAGAATCCCAGCAAAACCCTATTTCTGGCCTAGTGACTCCTGGGTGGGGAGGGGAGGACGGGACACATCTAAGGGGGAGGAAGCCTTCCTCTTCTTTCCCTCTGGAACCCCCAATCTTGCCAGCTCCACCTGAGGGGGTTCTTTCCTCCCTCAGAAGGGATAAACTGAGCCACTTGTGTCCTTATGTGTCCAATCACACTTGGCCAATAAAGCGTTCTGTTCTGTTCTGTTCTGTTCTGTTCTATTCTATTGGGGGAGGGGGGGCTGCAAAGGCCCCCTTCTCATCTCATGGGTGCTTGGGAAAGAATCTGGCCCAGAGCAGAAGAAACAAAATGTCCGGACCGGCACAGAGGAAAACCTAAACTAAGCTCAGTGTGTTTGGCCAAGAGACAGTCTGGATGATCTTTACCTGGCCCGTTTAAAGCGGGCTGAGGGAGGGGAAGAGTCCTCTCCCCCGCTTCAAGTGAGGAAAGCCGGGGCCATTCGGTAGCGGAGAGGCGGCGAAGGGGGAGCCGAGCTTGGGCTCAGCATCTGGCCGGCCGTGGAAAGCCGTCAGGCGGCCTCCTTGGCTGGGCGACCCCACCGCCACAATCTGAGGGACTCTTGGGGGGGGGGGGAGGCCTGCCCGAGAAGGAGAAGAAGGGGGCCGAAGCGCCCCGGGTTCCTCCCTCCGGAGCCCGCACTCACCGAAGTACTCCTTCCGCACGTGCAGCTCCAGCTCCTTCTCCAGCTCCAGCGTCAGCGCCTCCAGCCGCCGCTCCACCTGGCTGGGCCCGCTCTCCCGGGCCGGCGTCACCTGGCAGGGGAGGCGCAGCCTGGCGGCCTCGGCGTCAGCCGGCGGGCCCTCCTCGGGAAGCAGCGAGGCCCGCGGCGAGGGAACCGGCAGCTCCGGGGAGGCGCCCATCGAGCCGCGGGAGCTCCGCGAGCTGTGGCTGGAGAGGCTGGAGCGCGGGCTGGCCAGGGAGGAGGAGGCGGCGGCGGCCAAGCTCGACGGCGCCAGGGGCCGGGCGGCGGCGGCGGCCTCCAGCTCGGCAGAGGAGCGCGGGCTGGCGTGCCGCTGGTCGTAGCCCATGCTGATGCCGCTGGTGCGGGCGCTGCTGGGCTTGCTGCCGTCGGAGGAGCCGGCCAGGCTGGCGCGCGGGCTGGAGGGCTTGCTGGCGTCGCTGGCCGTGCTGGCGTAGCTGGAGCGCGGGCTGAGCGGAGCCTCGGAGGCCGACAGGCTTCCGCGCGGGCTGGCCAGGGGACCGCCGCAGCCGCTCCCCGGCCCGCAGCACGTCGAGGCCCGCGGACTGGCCCCTTGTCCGGCCGCCTTGCCGCGCGGGAAGCCCTCGGCCGAGTAGCGCTTGTAGCAGGGCAGCGCCACCTCGGAGCGCGGGGCCTCCTCACCGGCCGGGGCGCGCGGCGGGCAGGCGGGCTCCCCCGACGGGTAGGGCGGCGGGGCCCCGTTCGGCGGCTGCTCCCGACGCCGGCGCCGCCCGACGGCTTCCTGGGGCAGCAGCGCCGGCTCCGCCATGGGCTCGCCGGGCTCCACGCGCTCCGGCCGGCTGCTCAGCGCCGCGGCCACCCCGCGTCCCGCCGCCAGAAGCCCCCGCCAGGCATCCCGGCCTCGCCCGGCCACGCGCTGGGGGAGGCGCCGCGGGAAGGTCCGCCTCGCGTCCGGCCGCTTCCACTCGCTGCCCCGGCGCTGCGCTGCGCTGCCCGGCCCGGCGCTCTCTGGACGGCGCCCTCCTTTGTGCGGGCGGCGGCGGCGGAGGAACTTCTTTGTGTGGGGCAGGAATGCGCGGAGGAGCCCGACGGCGCTGCGTCCCTCTGGAATGCGCTTCGCTCGGGAGCCAGACAATGGCTCGAACCGGGCGGGGGCGGGGCGAGGGAGCCGCCCCCCTCCGCCCCCTCCTGACTTTCTCCGCCAGCGGAGGGGGGGCGAGTCCCCCCCCTCTCGGACCCCCTGCGGCTTCTCTCCCCCCTCCCCCCCCCGCCCATGTGCCCGCCTTGGATCTTGGGACTTTGGCCCGACGGCACGTGGGAACGTCGCGCTGCGGGCCCCGGCCTGGGCTTGTGCCAGCGCAGACCTTGTTTTATAGAAGGGAGTCCCCAACATTGGCCCCTTTAAGACTTGTGGACTTCAACTCCCAGGATTCTCCAGCCGGATTGCTGCGAGGGGAATTCTGGGAGTTGAAGTCC